GTGCTTTATGACAGCCTGACACTTTAAAGTCCAGCTGGTTAATGATTTTAAGCTGATGTAACCCACTGCTGTAAATGGTAATGCATAAAGGTGCATAGTAACTAAAACCAAACCATTTGTAAATCATACCTTGCTTCATCTTTGCTCGGGTGCTGTACTTCAGGCCTTTCAGTCGAACAGCACGACAGCGAAAATTTGTCGCACATTTCAACAGCCCTGCAGGAAAAACTGTCACAGGTTACTGATCTGGAAATATCAGAGACTGAAAAACTGATTTAGACTTAAACTACTTCAGTCTGTGTGCACTGAATTAAGTTAATACATCAGTTTCACTATTTGAGTTGAATTACTGAAATAAATGAACTTTTCCACGACATTCTAATTTATTGAGATGCACCTGTATATATATATATATATATATATAGAGAGAGAGAGAGAGAGAGAGAGAGAGAGAGAGAGAGTAATGAAAAAGTTTTTTTGAAAATAGTTGACATGAACCTTTTCTTTCTTTTTTGAGTACATACATAATATTGTTTTCTCTGTGGGTTTTGTATGGTGGGATCATCTGTGTGCACTAAAAAATTACAACGGATTTTTTTTTTCTATAGCTGATGAGTGAACAAGCACACAAAGTAAATCCATAATAGCATACAAAGAGGCAAGATATCTATATAGTGGTGGTGGATGAGGAGATACCCCCTGACAATGTAAAGCGCTTTGAGTGTCTAGAAAAGCGCTATATAAATGTAATGAATTATTACATTATTATTATTATATAATAAAGGTACATTGTAACCAAAATGTTGAACTGTGTTCATAAGTCAGGCTGTCAATTTTAACTACTGCAATTTGTCAAATGTGTTTTATAAAAACACAAAAACAAAAGTTTTATCAATCTATATAGTGACTTGGTCCAAACATGGTTTGATATTTTTGGATATTACCCTTTTAAGTAACATGATGTTCCACTATCGACTTGAATTATTACATTATTATTATTATATAATAAAGGTACATTGTAACCAAAATGTTGAACTGTGTTCATAAGTCAGGCTGTCAATTTTAACTACTGCAATTTGTCAAATGTGTTTTATAAAAACACAAAAACAAAAGTTTTATCAATCTATATAGTGACTTGGTCCAAACATGGTTTGATATTTTTGGATATTACCTTTTTAAGTTACATGATGCTCCACTATCGACTTTGTGTTCAATCAACTGTAACTTTTTCCTGAAATGTAACATGTATTAAAGGTACAGTGAGCAGTGTGACAACTAACCCCAGTCTCAGCCATAGACTGTATGGTCTCAGCTATGCCTATGTAGAACTGTGGAAAAGTGAAAGCAGCCTATATTTTATATAGCCTATTGCTGTAACTGTCAACATTAAGTTTTTAAACAATTTTAGAGTGACGCACATTCATTTGTATCCCCCCTCATTAAAACTCTTCAATAATTATATAAGCATTAGAAAAACGGTTTAAAAATAGTTGTAGTCACGTTAACACACTGATATGTCACGCCAGCTACGTTACGTCACCAGCGCTCTTGCTGCGCTTCACCTTGGCGCCACAGGTAAAGCATGCAATTCAAAATGCAAAACTATAATAAGAGCGTATAACTGTAGTGCAACAAATAGCGGAAATATAGACGTTTTAGAAGCGCACTGACACTTCCGTGATTGCCTCTTAAAAACAAACACAACGCGACCTGCATGCTTGCATACAAAGTAGTTATCTTTTCGATGCCAATTCCGATTTGGCGACATAACGACGTTAACTTCAGTATTTATAAAACTCACCCATCTCTGTGGATCAGAAGCGACTGCAGAAGGTCAACAACGATTCCATTTTAAAAGAAAACACAAAATGGCCAAAACTGCAGGTACTGGCTTTATACATGCGGGGGCGCTAAAAACTCACTCAATGACCAAATGTAAGACAGACAGCCAAGAAACACATTTATAAACTGTATAATTTAATTGTTTTCTCCATACAATACTCGTATGCTTCATATATTTTGTTCATATTCTTTTTAGATTATTGCTTTACAGTAAAATGCATTGGTTGGAAACATCCATTGCTTGCAAGACAATACATTCAAGTTACACACCAACGTCTTATGTTGAAAATCATTAAATCTGTACCTTACAAAAGGTTTCCTATATGTGTTCCACTCACAGTGCAGCAGGTCACTCGTGGAGCAGTGCGCATGTATCTGTGCATGTGTGTTTAATAAATCAAGACACCGCATGAGAAGTTCTCATACTCTTGTGCATATTCATGCGTGGCAGAGTCATCTGAAGCATTTTCCTTTAAGTTTTTGCCCTCTGAAGAGGCATACAGTGGAGAGTGCATATAAGTCTATTCATGTAAGAGTGCTGTACAAATGGCAACAAAGACATCCCGTCTGAAGTGACCCGATGAAACATTAATCAAACCACTCCGGAGGTCCGAAGTTTATAAAATACAATTAAATGTCAAAAAATACTTATATATCAGTTCAAATATAAGGGTAGCATTTACATCAAGCATGGCAGAAATAACCTGCAACAAAGTAAAGGATTGTGTGCTGACAAATAGATTCAAATGAATCTAGTATATGAATGCACTGTCTATTGGACTGGCAAAAGAGATTTCCCAAAACAACCAGGGAGAGACTAACATAAAAAATAGAAACTGGCACTGAAGAATTCATTTAATGCTGTAAAAAAACATTTTTAACTATTTAATGTGGCAACCAGCATAGGAAGAAGCTTTAGAAGCTCCTCCGACAGTGTGCGTATGGTTTATCTATTTCAGCTGAATAATGTAATCGTACACATCACCACTGAGTAACACCACAGAACAAAGAACGAAAGAGAATCATCACATGACACCACCGTCATTCCGCACAGCACATAGCCACATTAAACTAAAGTCGACATTCTACAGAATGGCCATTATGTGATGATGTAAGATTAGATGACAGAATCTGCATGCATGTGTTACAGCGGTGGGCGACTTCAGCAGCTTTCACAAACATGGCTCATCTATGAAAATATAATCGGCCCTCCCCGACTGAGATTGCATATATCATATATAATGTGTACATCAAATACTGCAACACCTGTCTTTTTGCACAGACAACAGCGACAGCACCTCCTAGCACTTAACAACGACAGGTTCTACGACTGACAAAAGACACGCTCATTCCCCTACAGTCAAGTTCAGGGCTCCTGAGCCCACTAGCAGCTGAGTGAATGGTGGTCCTGTAGCTGCCATTTAGGGGTGAATCTCAGGAAACCTGTCGAGGTCAAGTTCAGGTCATATTTCACCCAAAAAAACAACAACAACAAAGAAATAAGCTAATTATTTTATGCTTAAAGAAAAAGAAGTCTATGAAGACCATTATAATTTTGTTTTTGTATTGTGACATCACAGTAAGCGTATTTTCTACCTCAAACATCATTACTGTAATTTTCATTACTGCAATGGAAAAATCTCTCATTACCGCAATAGAAAACAAACTCATTACCGTAACGCAAAAAGCTAATTTAAATTTAAAATTATTTAAATGTACACCTAAAATCTGTGTACAAATCTATGTAATTTTCATTACTGCAAAAAAAAAAAAAAAAAACTTACCACAAAAAAAAATAAAAAAATTAATAAAAAATCATACAATAATACAAACGATCAAAACATTTCCATGGCCGCATAACAAAATCTCAATCCTATTACTGTAATGCAAAAAATATAATTACGGTAATTTAAAATTTGCTAATGCTAATTTAAATATATTTTATTACAGTATGCACAAATTACAGTATGAAGTCCGCATATTACAGCTATGAGAATCCAGGTTTGAAAATGTGCTTAAATTTTATGAAAATAAATGTTGCAATGCAGATAAACCTTAAAAGGTCTTTAAACTTAATTTCCTTGCACAATCTAATTTATTTTTCTTTTGATTTTGGAATGAATTATGACCTGGGCACATTTTCTTGAGATTCATCCTTGTAGGAACATTGACGTGAGCTCACAAAGCTTTTGCCCTGCTTTAAAAATGGCTTCTTTGTGTCAAATCATGCATTACAGACAAACGGTAATAAATATCCAGAGAGGGAGGTTAGGTTGCATTGGAAATAAAGAAAAAGTGGCCGCTTTGGTCACTTATGTAAATTCACCCTCACCTCCCATCATCTTGTAAGGAAGCACTGGTTCAAACAGGATCAGTGATGTTATATTTACATATAAATAAACCCCCAAAAAACTCTTCGATTTGTAGAATGTTTGCAAAATCCAGGATCTCTGTTTGTGATGTCATCAGTATGTGTTTGTAATATCAAAGCAGCCACAGTTGTCCGTCATCGTCCATAGTGCGAAACAAGCAAAGAGCGGTCCTGAGGGCTGTCAGCTCTGGTCTGAACGAGAGGTGAGGGGCAGCTTTTGATGTGTGCTTTATGATTGGTTCCATTCACTGGTTAATGCAGATTTGGAATAATTAAGGGGAAACCAAAACGTGTCCAATTTTAGAGCTTCTGTTTCCATGTGTTAGAAGCTGGTCCACTCGCTGACCTCTCCGATGGGCACCTGCCGGAAGCTCTCAGCAGGAATTATATGGTCCAGCTCATAAGGATTTCATAACTGCTCGCCCCCTGCCGCACGATCCATACAGAAAATGCTTCACATCTGCTATGCGTCTTATTTCAACAGTTTTCTTGTGTAACGAGCTGCGAGAATCACTTTCTTTCCCGAGGACAGTCATTTCATGTCAGTTCCATCTTTTTATTGCGCCACATCAAGGACGAACTTTCATTTGTCCATTCTGGAGGAAATAAATTAATATGATATAGATGTTTTATGCCACATATAAAGTGCATTATGTTCATGTCATACGTTGTCTCAAGGGAAGACAGAAATGAGAAAATGTAGATTGCTAATGCATACAGGAATGAGCAGCATTCTTTGTCATTGCCGTGTGTGTGTGCAGTTTGTGATGTAAGTGTACACTTTGAATCCTTTTGCTCTGAACAAGACATTTACGGGCTGCATTGTGATTGTCCAAGGTTCAGAAGTGGAAGAATATCCAGTTATAAAGAGAGCTGCCAAAGAGAATTTAATTTCCTGGAATTGATGGAGAAAGTTGCGAGTCAACGGTATTCTGAGAAATGCAGTTCTTCCATCTGAGCCACAGTGGTTTGAATGTGCAGCGGGAGACAGTGGTTTTCTTCAACAGTAGGGAGTTTAAAGAGAGAGGAAACAGCAGAATAATTGGTGATTTTGGTTGCAGGTTTATCCCGGAGGTATTTTGGTTCAAAGCCCATGGAAATCATCTAGCCTAGACACCTTCTAGGCACATGGGCAGGTTGACGAAAGTGAAGACATTGTATTCGATCAAGACGGAAAAGCAGAGGAAGATGGCATACAGAACAAGCACGTATATGCCCAGCTTAAAGTCCAACCTCCACTTGTTCACATGGATCCCCAGCACCTGAAAGTGGACAAACAAAATAATTCGTAGGAAGCCAGAGAAAATAATCTTTTATACACTGTATGGACAGCAATCGTAATCTCTAGCTTCTGCTAACTGTCGTACGCACGTTCATGAGAGAGCGGTATTCCAGTGGATGACGTAGGACGTAAGCTCCAGTGAGAATATGCTAGTCTCGTGAGAACCAAGTTTTGTTTACAGCAAAGGTCTTTACAAATCCTCATTTTGTACTTCTAATTCATGACCAGTGTTTTTTTTGCTCTCTCCACTACACTTCCTCGTTTGTCATTTCCGCATTCGTTACCATGGTCGCCTATGTTCTACGTCATCTGCTGGAAAGCCACTCTCTAGTCACTCCTCCTTTATCCTTCCGGTGCTCCTCCGTGAGACTCGAGACCGGTGAGTGGCGCAGGTGTCGCGCATTAGCAATTACTCCACCGGCCTCGCTCCGTTCCCACGGCTCTCGGCCCCGCCCCTCTCGTCACATAAGTCATTATTAATTTTGTAATAAATATTCACGACTTTTTAATATTTGAAATCAGGCTACACTGGATTGGATTAACATAAACTGTTAATGAAATGTTTAAAAAGCAGTTAGAAGTTTGAATGAGTCTGAAACACTGCCCTGTATAAATTAAAAGAGAAAAAATTTATACGCTTGTATGTAAGCAAAATATAACCAAACCAAATCTATATACACTCAGCTATAGAATTTTTGTAGACGTTTTGTCTTCAGTGGAATTAGAGGTTCTAACTAAAACTAAAAAGGGGTGTCCATGTATTGTATTTCTGAAGTGAATTGTCCTTTACATTTACTCACAGTTAAAGCCACCGAACCCAGCAGCAGAACAACGGAGTAAATCAGTCCTTTACTGTTGATTTTAACCTAAATAGGACACAAAAAAAGCTAACTGTCGTACGCACGTTCATGAGAGAGCGGTGTTCCAGTGGATGACGTAGGACGTAAGCTCCAGTGAGAATATGCTAGTCTCGTGAGAACCAAGTTTTGTTTACAGCAAAGGTCTTTACAAATCCTCATTTTGTACTTCTAATTCATGACCAGTGTTTTTTTTGCTCTCTCCACTACACTTCCTCGTTTGTCATTTCCGCATTCGTTACCATGGTCGCCTATGTTCTACGTCATCTGCTGGAAAGCCACTCTCCCGTGAATGCATGTACGACATTTAGCGGAAGCTAGAGATTACGGTTTATAAAGTCTTAAAGATGGATATTTTTCTTACACAAACACATTGATTCGCTTCAGAAAGCCTTTATTAACCCCCCAGAGGTGTGTGGAGCACTTTTTATGATGGATGGATGCACTTTATTGGACTTCTATTGGACTATTGAATATCAGCCCTCATTCACTGCCATTATAAAGCTTGAAGAGCCAGGACATTTTTAAATATAACTCAAGATTGTATTCGAAGAAAGTCTAGGATGGCTTGAGAAATCAGGGTAAATCATGGGGTAATTTTCATTTTTGGGTGAACTATCCCTTTAAGGAGGGATGAAAAAATTTGATTTTCCTCTTTCTACTCTATACTTACATTCAGTGGCTGTTTAAAAAATGTATATGTAAAGAGCTTCTAATCCTGCAGACGCTGCTGCGTTCTACTCAGCTACATATTTGGACTAGAGATCAACCTATATATCAGTTTGAGTGATGAATGGTATTTAGAGTATAACAATAATGTGAGAGCACATGGACAAATTATACATACATGCCATTTAAAAAAAATATTAAAAAGTTGATTTTATTTTATCCTTTTTTTCTCTCTCCCTTTCTTGTTTTGTAAATTGATATATAAATATTACAGTTATATGAATTATCCAATATATATTTATCCAATAACTATTTGTACATTTCATCATTTCATATGACAATAAACAATTTTAAGTTGTGACGAGAGGGGCGGGGCCGAGAGCTGTTTTAATATTTGAAATCAGGCTACACTGGATTGGATTAACATAAACTGTTAATGAAATGTTTAAAAAGCAGTTAGAAGTTTGAATGAGTCTGAAACACTGCCCTGTATAAATTAAAAGAGAAAAAATTTATACGCTTGTATGTAAGCAAAATATAACCAAACCAAATCTATATACACTCAGCTATAGAATTTTTGTAGACGTTTTGTCTTCAGTGGAATTAGAGGTTCTAACTAAAACTAAAAAGGGGTGTCCATGTATTGTATTTCTGAAGTGAATTGTCCTTTACATTTACTCACAGTTAAAGCCACCGAACCCAGCAGCAGAACAACGGAGTAAATCAGTCCTTTACTGTTGATTTTAACCTAAATAGGACACAAAAAAAGAAAGGTAATTTTACGGTCTTTGTGGAATTGTGTGTGCGTGTATGTTTGAGGAGTGACAAAGACAGATACCACAGAGCCGTAGTTGACAGCCATTGTCTGGATGCCCCAGGGAACGCCGAGTCCAACCAGGATATCAAAGACGTTACTGCCAATCGTGTTGGAGACAGCCATGTCCCCCAGGCCTGAGCACACAGACACAAAGCCAAAGCTGGAAAGTCAGCTCAACATGGATGAAAGATGAGGGAAGGTAGAAAAACCAAGAAAATTAAACAAAGGAGAGCTCTACCTTGTCGTGCGACAATGAGACTGGCTATGCAGTCGGGAACACTGGTGCCAGCAGCCAGGAAAGTTATACCCATAATGACATCTGGGATTCCAAGTGAGTATCCAGCGATTGTGACCTGCACACAGCAACCCACATGAATGAGCCTCAATGAAATGCTTATAGGAATAGTGATGTAACATGCCTGCAAGCAGAATGACCTAAAATAAGCAAAATTCAAAGAAATTGTGTCAAAACAAAGACGATTTCAAACTGACGTCCAAGGACCCCCAGGGGCTGCTAGGGGGCTAATAAAAAGATTTTACAAAATTTACTATGGCAGTCACAGTTAAGATTCAAGATTTTAAATATTGTATTAACAATTCATTATTAAGTATGATATTTAATAAATTGAATAATGCAGGGGGAAAAAGACATGAAAAATGCTTACATACACAAAGATACTGAAACTCACCATCCACACCATGAAGTAGGAGAAGATGGCGATCCACAGCGTAGAGAGGAAGAAGGACAGCATGAAGAAGCGCTCCCACCGTGGTTTGGCACAGTTGGGTATCGTGAAGAACAGCAATACCATAATGGGCCAGGAAATGAAAAACTTCACTTTATCCTTTGTGCCCCCTACAGTCACATGGCACAGCATGTCAGTAATTAGCCCTCCAAAAAAAATATTCTCTTTATGGCATTAAGTTGACCATCCAACCCTAGCTCATAGCTCAGATGAAAGCAGAGCTCACAAGAAAACACATGAGAAATGCCCATGCAGTGCATAATATTAAAGGGGTCATATGATGTTGCTAAAAAGAACATTATGTTGTGTATTTGGTGTAATGCAATGTGTTTATGCGGATTTAGGTTAAAAAAAACACATTATTTTCCACATACTGTACATTATTGTTTCTCCTCTATGCCCCGCCTTTCTGAAACGCATAGATTTTACA